CCTTGGCTCATGGGGTGTCATCCCCCTTGCTCCGCCTCACTCTCTGTATGTCATTTCCTGTTCCAGCCCCCCGCCCTTCCTCCGGGATCCTCCAGGGGGTGCTGCTCACCCTGTGCATGGCCCTGGTGCTCCTGGCGCTCCTGGCCGTGGTGCTGTGGCTCCACCGCTCCGCCCGCGAGAGGAAATGGGGCCACAGGAGAGGTGGGGGGGGAGAGGAGGAGGAGGGGTGCTACAACGAGATCAGATCTACCCCCACCCTCCTCCGGCGGTCCTTCGTCTAGCGGTCTCCCTCCTCCCCCTGCTGCCGCCGATCAATAAACGCTGAAATCTCACCGCGCAGTTGTGCGTCCTTTTGTGTCTCTCTGTGTTGGCGGTATTCAAACATTTGTGTCCTCGCCTGATGGATTAGGGTGTTGCAAAGCGTTAACAATCGACAAGACATTCACGGTACAAACTCTATTTACAGGCCACACAGGAGAGACGGTTATTTGAGAGGGTCAGTCGCTGTTCCTCGGGCTGTGATGGGAGATCCCCTACGGGGCTACCAGCACTGTTGAGTCCCCTGTAGCACTGGGAGCTGTTCTGATGCTGGCAGCTGTGGGGATTCAGGATTAGACAGAGTTCTGTCCTTCTGTTTCTGATTTTTGCACTGCGCACACTCATTTCATTTTATTTCACCCCTCGGGCGAAGTTTGTAAAACCGTCCTTGGGGCCAGATCGTGTCAAACGCTTTCTTGCAATCAAGCAAAAGCAGAGTCGTTTCGGTGAACCTGTTTGTCAAGTAGGAGTAGGGCGCTCGGGAGTGTCTCTATGCTGCCCTCTAGTGGCTGAACTCTGTAGCGGCTCAGCCAGTTCGACCCCTGCGTTCGGGTCACACCCATTTTCGGACCCGTTTTCAGGAAAGCGGATCTGGAAGCAGTTTGGCAGAGCTAGGGGCGGGTCAGGCTAGATCAGCAGCAGAGATTCTGGCTGATGCCACAGAACGGATCTACCCCGGGGGTATGTACAGCTAGTCAAAGTTAGATAA